TTAAATCTTCCAGATGATGGAGTAACTCGCTAGCTCGGTTCGTTGTTTGCACTAATCCAGGATGGCAAGGAGGTTCTACTGGTCCCAGGAGGATCTAGTGTTGAAATATGAGGATCATCTGTTAGATTATATCTGTGTGTGTGTGTGTGTGTGTGTGTGTGTGTGTGTGTGTGTGTGTGTGTGTGTGTGTGTGTGTGTTAGCTTTCCCAAATGACTTGTTTTTCCCTTACCAGAGCCAACATAGTTAGCAGTGTTGCTGCAGTCATGCCAACGGTGTGGTTCCAGATTCAATTCAATTCAAGTTTATTTATAAAGGGCCAAATCTCGACCAGAGTCATCTCGAGGACCTTCACACAGTAAACATCCCAGTACAGATCAGTTCATTAGACCAGTCAGTAAAAAGTTTCCTATATAAGGAACCCAGCAGATTGCATCAAGATGGATTTATAGATCTAGGTTCTTATTTTAGATCAAACCAGGGGTGGACTAGGACCAAAATTCTGCCCTGGCATTTTTACAAATCGTCAGCCCTCCCCATTGGGAGAGAGATGGGGGTGGGGGGTGTTGCCGCCCCCGGACTCGTCTCTAGGCTGAATTTGAGACTGGATATGGACTGGGACCGTTAAATTACAAGCTGTTCAGCCTTCTGACGCTCACGTGTCTGACTGCTGATGCTCCGTGTGTGTTTTTATTTCTGCAGTGAGACAAACTCACCTCACACAGTCCAGAGTTTGTTCTTTAAAACTTCTATTAAATCCACCGTGTTGACGTATTTTTAACAAGTTTCCTCTATGCTGCAGGAGTTGAAGTTTACATCACGGAGTAAAAGTTCGGCAGACGCGTTTGTTTATATCTGGGTGGGGGGACTTGATCACAATTTGCAGATCACGTTTACTTTTCACGGAGATCGGCCACGGATTCCTCTTCCGGTCGGCATTCTAGAAATCGAAACTAGTAATCGAAAAAAAAACTCTGAACGATTCCAGGAAAAACTAACAGTTGGAACCGGTTCCAATCGATGCTCGATGTTATGTAAAAATGCGTGTAGGGCACAGACATATGTCTCAGATCTTTTGCTGTAGCTGTAAACGTAATTATCCACAATAACTAAGCATGACCGTAAACAAAATACAGTTATTCCCAATACTAGCACCAGCAGCTACCTTGTTTTACGTGTTGGAGTGATGTATGTGGAACACAGCTTCACTGTTTTAAGTCCCATTGGTCATCACACACGGGTGAAATTCATCTCCACATCTGACCCATCCGGTTGATTTGCTGGAGTTTTTGACAATTAAAAGTTGCGCCCACATTTTCAAAGTTAACACACATTTTTTTTCAACAATGGTAGTTTTTGCATCTTTACTGTTCCCCTGCTTAGCGGCGCAAACTCCCTGATGCGCCTGCAGCCTCTCAGAGTTCCTGCTGCTCTAACAGAGTAATTTCATTTTCTGTTCCTCATTTCTGATTATTTTCAATGGTGTCTGTTTGTTGCAACCACCAGGTACAAAACGAACTTTTTATTTGACCATTTTTCTGTCCTGTCTGTTTATTATCTTCCTGCATCTCCTCTCAATCCTAAAGAAAAACTACCTGGCTTCATATATATTCACCTTATGAGTTACCTTTGAACTGCAGCTCAAAAAGATCTACCGACCGCAAATACAGCGAGAGTCCACATATATAATGTAATATAAGTAGAACCAGAATCATTTTCGGGCTCCCCTTGGGTGTGTAAACTGAGGGCTTCCAGGGGAACTTGTCATCCATTGCGGTGAGCCGGGCTTCCTTTAGTTCACCCGTAATTCGAACCCTGCATATAGCACAAGTTGGTCGCGTGAGTTGCCGGATCCTAGCAGACAGTTGCCGGAATGGTCCTTTGAAAATAAGACAGTTCCCGGATCTTGTTCCGGCAAGATCCGGCTCAAATTAATTACTGTGTCAGGGTGATTTGTTTCTCTAAATTGTCCTTAGGTGTGTGTGCTTAGTTGTTTGTCCCGTGTGTCTCTGTGTTGCCCTGAAATGGAATGGCAACCTGTCCAGGGTTACTGACAGCAGCTACATTTAAGTTTCACTTTCTGTTCTGACTGAAGCTGCTGCAGCATGGAGGTGTAGTTCTCAGTCATCCTGGACATGATCATCCTGAGAGCTTTAGCTGAAAACAGCTGGACGTTTCTGGATATGTTGGAGACATTTAGCCTCTCATCCCAGAGGCTTCGTCCAGACTTTGGTTGTAGTCAGAAACAAACACACTGGCTGTGCGGCAAGTCTTTTTCTTTTTTTCTCCAAAACATGGTTTTCTAAATGAAGGTGATGTTGTTGTTCATAGAGTTAAAATTCATGTTGAAGTTAAGATTATTTCATCGAGTAGGACCTGTGGTTAGCTGGATCATTTAAAACATGGAATGTCTTGAAAGAATCGGGAATCGATAGGAATCGGAATCGAAACGCAGAATTGGAATCGTTCAAAATCAAACGATGCCCAACCCTAAGTCCCTGCCTGTTTTATCATCTCTAGCAGAGACTGCTAGAGATGATAAAATACACTGAAGGCTATGGTTAACCGACAGTTCTAGTGGATAAGCCACCCACATCGTGGCAGACGAAGTCTCATGGCAGAATAAAAATGTTAAATATCTATCCCACATGTTCAGATGTGAACAATTTTTTTTTAAATTCTTGTTTTTGTGAAGCTCCTCATAATTTTTGCTTTGAGAGACACCATATGATTGTTTCTTCTTCATGCTCCGTCCCGCAGCGCTCCTCTGTGAGAGCGAGGGTGGGGTGGTTGCACACGTAGTATCAGCTGATGGAGGGCTCTATTTTCGTTGCGCCGTTCATGTTGTCGTGTCAGCTGACTCGGTAGGGTCGGGGAGGGGGGCGGGGCATGATGCTTAGCCTGGCGGGTGGGCAAGCAAATTCTGGCGGGCCGCCAGGCATATAAAGCGCTGGGGGAAACCCTGCACACGGCTGATCCCATATAGTCACAAAATCACAGGTGCAACACTACGCATTATTTCAGAAGTCCAAACAGTAAAATGCAAGGAAAATGACAGCTGCATGTATACAAAAAGGGCTGTGGTTTATTTTCTGTTCTGTTTACATCAGCTACGGGGTTTCAACAGGAAATTATAAATGTTTACCTGCATTTGACTTTTATTTTGAAAGTTTCCATAGGTTTTACACTCCTTTTCTGTTGGACTTCCTGTCTGGCGTGATCTAAACTGCAGAGATTGGCGTGGAAGCGTAGCGTGCAGGAAATAGACTTGAAGTGTAATTTTAGCATCCCCTCGCTTATCAGGTTCATCCAAAATCCACGTTGCTGCCCGTGGAAAGCAACTCATCTACTAAAACGGTGGCAAAATGCCGCGTAATATGTTTCACTGCTGTTTTTTTGCAAAGGTTTCATGTGCAGTGGAAAGAAGTGGTGAGAAATAAACTTGTGTGAAATTGACAATGCTGATGTGGTGTGTAGATCTGTGTGACCTGCTGTAACGGTCTTGTTATAATTACACAAAATGTGCTGTGTAATTGGAGCGGGCAGCCTCTAATGTTGTTGGTTTTGTCTTTATGTTGCTCGTCAGAATAAACTGACCACCAGTTAATCTCAAAAGATGAACGATGTCAAAGTGATTCTTCAGCATTAGCCCGTAAAACGTAGAAGAGATGCTTCAGCTGCGTAACGTCCAGGCGCCCGGTTCTGAGAAGGACTGTCATCTCACAGCTTGTTAGCCATTTCGAACGGATCTGGAAGATTTGTGCTAAACACAGTTAGCTTTGAGATATTTCTTTTTTTTTATCTGCACAAAGCTGTGTTAGATGATGTATAGTAATATTTAAATCCCTAGGTTTTTAATTTTGTTAGCTTAAACTGCAGACATACAGCTGTGGATACTGGCTGGAAAAGCGATTCTTGCCCTCCAGGATTGTGTGGATGTGCACAGTTAGTAAACAATTACATTGAAGGGGTCAGTAACACTAGCCTGGCCTGCCAGACTCATCCCGTTTTACACTGAGAACTAGTCTGGTTACTCACAGGTAGAGAGGCACGTGCGGGGCAGGACTAGCCAGCTCAAAAATAACAGTAGTCAACAATGGCGTCTGGCCACGGCACACACATCTTTCTTTAGAAGAAAGGCTTTTAGCTTCTTCTTCTTGTGGTTTGAAAGACGTGTCCAAGTAATTTAGAACAGAGGAAAGAGCTGCAGTGAGTGAACCCTGCTTCAGACGCCTTCTTCGTAGTTTATGACGAACTCAGCGTTGCGGCGTGTGACGTACGCTGCTCAGTGCTGATTGGCTCAGTCAGAATGCTCAGGGGGTGGGGTTATCTAAATAGGAGGGTTCCTGGACCCAATGCCTCCCATAAGAATGCATGGGGCTGGCTGGTCAGGCTACTATAATACAATCTGATAACATCTTGTAGTTTATAAAATATATCAACATTAATCTAATTCTGTGAAAATCTGAATACTGTCATGGTTGCCAGTCCTTGTGTCTCCTTAATCAGATAAACAGTAAAAAGACAAGCTGGGTTTCCACCCTTGTCTGTTAATGCAGGTGAACTCAGCAAGCCGTTAAGGATTTACTGTAAAACTGACAACAAAAGCAATGGAAGGCCTTGAACTGACTTGCTCTGGACTAGCTTTACAGGTGTTTTACAGGTAAATAGTTCCTTTGATGTCCCATAAACAGCATTACATCACACACAAACGAGCCAACAGGCCACAGCTGTACCTGAACCGGTGCATCTCAAAACTAACTCATGTATGTCAACTATCAATACAGTAAGCAGCAGGAAATTCTTACCCGGAAGGTGCTTGAATTTGATTTATGCAAGGAGCCCGAGGTCGTTCAAAAGAGCTATCTACAACAGGTAAAGTATTAGTTCAGAGCCTGACTCTCCCCGTAAACATGTACGTGAACACACCTGAGCTACCGATCAGAAAGGGTCTACTGATGCTTGCCCCTTAGTTCCATGATGAAGCTGATGTGTCACTCACTTTATATCTCAGCGCCTGATAAATGTCTGCAGCAAGTTGGCCTTTCCACCATTGGTCCTCTAGCTCCATCTAAGTAAGAGCTTTGGAAACTTCTGGAAGCCAGAACACAGACAAAGGTAAACGGTCACAATAGGTCTGTCAGGACCGCTTTCTGCGGTTTCTGAAACTAGGAACGCTACGATAACTTTCATGTTACCGACAGGTTGAGCGTTTGACGCCATTAACGATCAGACTCACCCAATGAGCACACGTCCTGAACGCTGCGGTCCGTTCCAGTCAAATAACGCCTAAATAACCTGGCTGGTCACGCACCTCCTCTCCGCACCATCGCTCCAGCAGCGGACGGGTGGCGGGCTCAAAGCACGAGCTCATCAAGCCTTACAGGTGCGTTCAGGTGCTGCTCGAAATGCGCAGTACCCCTGGAACATCCACCGATAAACAACAACAAAACAGCTACTAAACAGCGAATTGTAACGGGTTAAAAAACAAAATTACCTAAACAGAAAGACGTTAAATCACGAGGATTCAAGAAAACACAACTTTTCCCCAATTTCTGTTAACGTTCCTCCTTACCAAAGGTGTCAAAAAAACTCCATTACCTTACTTAATTTGAGTAGGTCATATAAAGTTTTTAATCTTTAGAAGAGTCATTATCATATCTATTAGCCTCTACTCTACACTTCAAAACAATATTGGACCCATTTTCCCTTCAGCTTAAAGGGCGAGTCACAACAAAATCAACTTTTTTTCTCATAAGAAAGAAAGAAAGAAAGAAAGAAAGAAAGAAAGAAAGAAAGAAAGAAAGAAAACGATAGGGTATATAAGAGATCAAACCCTAACCCTTCTCAGGATAAAAATCATGAGGCGCTTCACAAAAAAGTGTAAAAAAAATATATTTTTTAAATGATTAAAATATGTAAAAAATTTGAAAAATAAAAACTGTGATTAAAAAAACAGTGTGTGGCAAGTGGGAGTTGATAATATAAATAGATTAAGGATAAAAAGATTGCAACAACGCCGCCCTGGGTTAACCCCCACAGAGAAGGGTAGAATAAAGGCCCGTAGGTTCAAAAATCATGATGGGAACAGATGGTGTCTTTCAAACAAAACAAATCTTTATTAAAATATCTAAGCTAAAAACATACGGATGGAGTTAAGTGCTCGGAGTCCAATATCACCAGTTAGTCCACCAGAAGTAACCACTTTGGCCTAGGGCCAACAAATACTAAATGACGTTAAAGGTATAGCAATCGATCTTTTACTTCCGGATGGATCACGTCAACCAATGGTCCGCATAACTGTCAATCATTCTGGCGAAGTCCGTCGTACGTGCTCACCCCTGGGTCAGTTTTCTCCTTGCGCATGCATACTCTTTTTTCTCAACGGGTTGCGCAATCTCAATGGGTTCTTTTGAAAATGGTTGAGAGTCGCAAGAGAAAAGGTGTCTTCAAAGTCTACGAGAAGAGAAAGGCCTCTGAAGTGAGAAATAAGACCAGAGTGTATTTAGGAGGCTCCTTTCAACGTTGGTGTTCGCTGAAAGAGACGGTTGGGCTGTCCACAGACGCTGCAGTTGCCTGTTTTCTGCTCAACAGGTAAGCTAAAGTTCGGCATGCTATTTGGAGGAATGCATTTGAGATTACTGCTAGAAGAACTGTATGAAAATAAAACCTGTTATATATTTGTGTGCGCACATCAGCTTCTGAAATATTCGACTGGCCAAACAAAGCGCGTTCTCTGCTGACGTGATTCTAACATGGCAGAGCCCTGTCTGCATGTGAAAAAATAAACAAACAGCGAGAGAGCTGTAAATAGGGGAAATGCTTCTACTTGTTTCATTGTTGATGCGTCGCCGCGATCGTCATTTCAAGTTTCGGAAAGTATGTGTACGTGGCTGCAAAGACGGAGCAGTCTAGGATTTTATGCCTATCTACCCAAAGAGATGCGCTTTGCTGACACAGAATCCTTCCGACCGTTCCGCCATCTGTATCCTGAATCCTTCGAGAGTGTAGTGGAAACAGTCGGCTCATCGATCCGCAAAGCACCGTTTAGTTTTTTTTACATGCGGACAAGGGGACTGCTGCATCTGAATCTGAGCACATCTTTGAGCGGAGACATTAAAGACAATGTCCTGATGCATGAATCAAACAATAAAGTAAAACACGTAAGGAAATGTCATATTTACTATAGTATACATTTATTAGAGGTAGTTTCAAATGTAGAGCTGGATGATCTTCAGAAGAATATACTTTAAAGAATATCTGTGGACATCCATATGAAATACTTGTTATATTTGGATTTTGTATAAACAAAGAACTAATATGTTTAAAATTCTATATTTGTTACAGCTATGATAACATCACCTCCACACCGCAGACTCACACTCAGTGGTCAAGACCAAAGCCTCCAGATGTATCGACAATTCAGGATTCAATGTCGGATCGGTAAGTTCCCAGCAAACAAACTGAGTTGTGCATGTGCGTAAGAATGTTGAATAGAAAAAGGCATACCAATCACCATGTGTTAGCTGTGTATTTATTTGTGTGCGCGTGCGTGCGTGTGTGTGTGTGTATTACAGAGAAGCTGATAAACACAGCCTGGATATCTGGCACGGTGCAAAGAACCTCTGTAAAAAGATTCAAGCTGTATGTGTGCTGTTCCTGCTCTTCTTTTATTCTGGTAAGATACCAATTATTTCATTCCTATGCTCTTTATTTTTTCAGGCTGGACGAGAGAAGGACTGTGCCCTGCTTCTGATTTGGAACAGAGACATTTGCAACCACTTTTGGTACTGCTGTAAGGAAGCCACATCTTTTTAAGATTTCATTGTAAGTTTTATTTCCTAGATATCATTTATAAGAAATTGTGAAAATGGTATTTTTCTAATAATTTCATAGTGAACATGATTCACTAACTTTATAAATTGTAGTACAGGATCTATGGACTGGAATTCTGCATCATGTGACGGATGAACATGAGTGGTACTTCGGGGCCTGTCGACATGGTCCATTGGAGGAAGATAGGGATAAAGAGTAGATTCCAAAGAGCTCTGCAGCACTAACAAGACTCCAGAAGATAGTTTTTGATGAACGCTGGTTGAAAAACATACCAAAGTATCTGTCGTTCAGGTATAAATATATGTATTTGTATTCTAAATCACTGTCCACACCAGCCAAATGCTCTTTTTAATCAGATTCTAGTATATTTGTCCTTTTTACCTTGTTTTTAATAGATCTACCTCAGACCTTGAGTCCTTTCATAACCACATTCTTATGTATGCCTCCAAGCGTTTCTCCTTCACACCACCAGTGTACTCTGCTCAGACCAAGTTGGCAGGGCTGGAATATAACTACCACCTACCCCGAGGAGAACTAGCCAAAGCAGATGAATCACATCAGTACGTTTCTTATCACAGTCTACCAGCAATACTAAAGTCATTTTGTTTTCACTGTAAGGAAGATTTTAAACATTACTTGTGGCATAAATGTAGTACAGAATGTGATTTCTCCAGCTTTTTTTTTTTTACGTGCTGGAGGTGTTGGTGGAGCCAGGGTTCCTTCCCGGCGCCATGGACCAATGCTGGGGGAGCACACAGCCAGCCTGGTGTCCACATAGCAGGATCGGTCCAGCTGCGTCTCCCAGTCCAACCTCTCATCTGGCTCCAGGAGGGTGGAGAGGAACGCCGAGGCTCGATGGCGGTGTCGGCGGCGTGGCGGAGTTGGAGGAGGAGAAGCCGGCTGATGGCTCGGGGTGAGCCATCGGAGCAGGTACTCCCAGGGGAGAACCTCCCCGCTGTATCCTTTGGGAGGTCGGTTCATTCTGTCACGGTGCAGGTGAGTTGAGTGGTTTGTGAGGATCCAAATGCTGGGGAGGAAGCAGGCAGGCAGGTAGGTAGGCAATCTGGACACGCAAAAGGTCTTTCAATAGTAACTGCACGCAGGACATGGAAACAATGAACCGACAAAACACACAGAACTGAGAAGGTTGGGAGCTTGGGTGATTGGAAAACGAGAGGCAGGTGGGAGCAATTAACAGGGACACATGACTGAACAGAATGGGGAGACAGGACAGGGTGTGACAAAATGCTGTGGGTGACGAGGAGAGACAACTTGATGTTTACAACTGTACCTACATCTAAAGGGAACCAAATTTGTGCTTCTATTTCAGCTGTACATAATGTGCCATATCAAACATTTTCTGGTGGATGTATGCCTTTCATAAAACATTGATTTTATACGTGAGAGCTAATAAAAAAATCATAACCGTTTGTTTATATTTCCGCATACATTTTTTAAATAAATTTTTGCTGAGGTAAATTGTTTATGTATTTATAAATGTAAATAAAGTTGTGTTTGAACACCTAACAAACCCTGGAAGACTTTTTTTTAATTAAAACCTGGAAATGTTACACATTTGAAGGTCAGAATACAACCGTGTAATTAATCAGGTTATGAGTGTGCAAGTGAAGCTCTTGAGGTCTCTTTTTTTAGGTAAATTACAAAAAGATTTATTAGGCATCTACAAATGTTTTACACTCTTGATGGAAGAAAGCCTACATACTGTCCATTTGGATCTGGGAAATGATCTCTAATTTTCCACACACAACATGAAGGTATAACAATTCTAACACCAGGTCCCAGAAGGCCATACTGCCAGACAATAAAGTTCCTGTATGCTGCATAGCAGAACTGCCTATGGCTTTCTCCCGGATCCCGGATGTCAGCCTCCGCTCTAACGTCATTCCAGATTCGTCTGGCCAGTCGCAATGCACCTTCATTCAACAGTGGCAACAGTGATGTAAAGTTCTGTGGTTGTTGCTGACAGCATTTTTGTTCCAGCGGTGTTGCCATATTTCTGCACTGTAGACAGACACACCAGCTGGGTGACTGTGGAGGACAAGGTCCAGGTTGAGGGTGATCAGGGGTGAGACTCATCAGGTCAAAGATGAGACTAGGTCCCCGTGTGAGACATCTTTGTAGAAGCTGTTGGCCCTCTTCTAGCGTCAGTCCCTTTATCCTAGCCTGTGAAAGCAAAATCACACTTTTAAATTGTTGTGCTTGGCTAATGGACTCATAAAACTTTCAGATACTACATGTTACAGGCATAAGGAACTTGAGTGCAAAATGTTTGGAATAAAATGAAGGAAGTACATTCACATCATTTTTCTGTGTATTCGCTGTAGCACAATGTAACTCAATGTTGGATGGAGCAGAGTATGTTCTGAATACGTTAGAATAAATCCACATAACATTTCACACATTCAAAATCGGGATAATCATACAAATGAAATAATTGGACTTAAAATGGAGCAAATGTAAAATAAAGGCTTTGCTTTTGGTGTTTTTTTTGCGCAAAATTATGATAAGTTAGTAGTTAGATGTGCACGCATACCTCTTTCACTGCCACCAACTGTTGCCGGAGTTGTTGGACCCTTTCTAAGTCATCCCGTGTAATGTCAGCGAGCAGACCCCCACGGGTTCCAGCTTGACCTCGAACTTGACGTCGACCTCTGACACGGCCGCCTCCTTCCTGCTCACGGCTGCCGCGGGTTGTTGAAGCTGTAGCTCTTCCGGCCCTGGATCGTCTCACTCGGTCTCTAGGTGCACCCCTCATCCTGAATCTTGGCCGGGATGGACCGGGCACGGGCTCGTAGTCCGTATTGGAACCAACAAGACTTTCCTCAGGAAAGCTCTAAACCAATCAGCAAAACAATATAACTTATATGCTAATTGATAGCTTTTTTTTTTTGTAATGCTATAGTTAGCTATGAAGATGCTCGTAATGCTACTGGAATATAACTTACTGGTGGAGAATCTGACATTGTGGGAAAAAAAGAATTTACTAGAGTCAACAGGTGCAAAGCCGGCAGTTGCTTGGAAACAGAGCGTGCACGAGCATGCTCCACGGACTGGTAGAGGGGTGCGCATGCACATTTTAAAGAATGTTGAGTGGGCGGTTCTTCAGAAACATCGATTGCTACACCTTTAAACCTACACAAATTAAGTACACAAAACACACTAAATAACAATAATAATGAAACATATGAAAAACATAGCAAACAAAATCTGGATACTTCCTTTTAAGCCTGTGGGCATTCCGGTGGTTGCCCCGGCAACCAGGTGTCCGACGCCAGTTGGTTAATTAAAACAAATCAATGTAGACGAAACAGCAGTGAGGCAGTCCTCTGGGCACACAAGATGCCTGAAGATGGGATTGGTTGCGGCGGGATGGCGAGATGGAGCAGCAGGAGGGCCAGTGCACCGCCGCCGTCGTCAGATGCTCCGCTGATATGTGGCACCGCTTCGGGTAAAGCCAGATGAAAGAGCGGCTCTCAGGCCAACCATCACGGGCAGCCACACTGCAGACAAACAAACTGGCATGGTTCCCATGGATCAGCACAACCCTCCCCAATCAGAGGCAGAGACTTACAGTCGTAGAGCGGCTGAATCAGATCAGCCTTAATATGGCTGCCACGCCCACACGGGCAGAGAGCTGACTAGGAGTACCTGGGTGCAGTTTGACACTGTAACAGCATATGCAGTTCCACTCTGTGATCGCACGATACAACACAAATTAAGATGGAGCAATGAGGATTAACTAATGCTGCACAGGCAACACAGGAGGGTGAGTGCTTACAATCGCCGCTTGAAGTTGGAGTCTTTACGCACACTAGCACCTGAGGTGCCACACAAGAGCTGTCCTGCTGGAGAATCAGCCAGCTGCCTTTTATTGGATGGCTCGCCCCGCCCTGCTATCCATCCAATGCGAGCCACCTGCCTCTATACTGAGATGGTACCAGACTGGATCTGTCATTCCCATCACATAAGGAAAGGGATAGAGAAAATGAATAGGAAAGAGGGAAATTGCTAGCCTGTCCTGTTTAATTCTGCACAGAGAAAGGGGGTGTTTCTCAATGTCAAGGCACCTGGCCTTGCGAGGCGATGTCTTGCGAGGCCAGGCACCTTGCTTACAAGGACACAGTCCTTTTCTTGGTCAAAGAAAATGGCTAAATGGAACAGACTTGCATCACGTGACCACGGCTTCCTCACGTTGTCTCCCGTGTCACGTAACCTCACGTGACACGGGAGACAACGTTATACTTTATATGCATTAATTTCAATATAAATATATAACAAGCCTTTTACTTTTTAAATTGTGTATATGTTTATTAAATTAAAAATATAAGTGAGTTACTACCCGCTAGCCACCGAGGCTGCAACTACTAACCAACCATAGATAACTTCTTTGGATCTAAAAAAAACATTTTAAATTAGCTGACTTACATGAGAATTCCACCCGAGCCAATTAGCTAACCCTAACCCTAACCCTTTCTTCTGGTCTAAATGACTTGGACACGTCTAAAACAGCAAGTAGAAGCGCCAAAAGCCTTTCTGCTAAAGAAAGATGTCCGCGCCGTTGCCAAACACCATTTTTGACTACAGCAAAAAACGAACTACAGTGTTGAGTGGTACAGTCGGCATTTCCATCTTTTTTCTGATTGTTTATTTTTGAGCTAGCTAGTCCACCCCTCAAGTGCCTCTCTGCCTGTGAGTTACCAGACTCTGTCTCTGTGCAGAATTAACCAGAGGACGAGTCCGGCAGGCCAGGCTAGGAATTTATTGGATCTCGGTGTACCATCAGATCGCGCTCTGCACTCACGTCAAAAGCACTGCTCAGCTCCGCCCAGGCGGCAAAAAGAAATCCTGCACCTATTGTTAGCTCATTCACACACATTACCAGCACACTCTGCTCGTGCACAGGGAAACTATGGGAACCGTGAAGGTGTGTCCTTCTCAGAATCAGAATCAGCTTTATTGTCAGTTCTCCAGCATCCAGAAGCACAGAAATTTGACTCCACAGTACAGCCTGACCAAGGTTACACACACAAAACATGTAGAACAAAACAGATACAGGCAGTCTACGAGAGCTGCCATTCAAGGTGCTCATTTCAGTTAGATAGAAAAGGGCTACATGAGGATAAATGGGGGGAGGGAAAAAAGGCATTTCAGAGTTAGTCCCGTTTCGCTATACAAAAAACACCTCAAACATATAAGCACAAACATCAACAATTCACACATGACACTCCAATGGGAAGGCAGGAGGGGCTGGGACCCTGTTCTCCCCCAGAGAGAGCAGCCATCTTTGGAGGCGCTCGTTCACTGTTGAATCACAGGTGGGAGGGAGATCGAGGGAGAGTGAAGAGTACATTGACTCCTTCAGTTGATGTCTTCGCCAGGCTAAAGCCTGATTTATGCTTCTCCGTCTGCGTCAGTGCGGAGACACTCAACACCATTATCCGTCCTTGCATAGGGCACGCAAGTATGTACAGAGTCGAGCCCACTTTTTTAAACATCCGTCGAACGAGACGGATTACGCAAGCTTGTGATTGGTCAGGACGCCGCTGTTGTTTACAGCGCCGCCATTGCAAAGAGAGCCGAGGATAACTAGTGGCAGACACGGAGAAGCTTGAAGAATACCTCGCGAAAAAACTCTAAAAATATGAACGTTTAATTCTCCCGTGACTGGAGGAGTAAAAAGATGCCCAGCAAGCATTTTATTTGTGGATGGAAATGACAGGAAATGTGGGTTTAAAGGTGGGGAGCGCATGAAGAGGTGGGAGAATGAGAGACAAATATGTCCGTGTTAAAAGTCTCTTATATACACAAAAACACAATATAAACACACTATCTTGGACCGATACATGACAGGATACCACAGAACAGCGCTACACCCTCTGTGGTCCTGCCGGGCAATTGCTTTGCAACACTCTCCAGGAGACGGAGAAGTAAAAGAGCAAAACGCTTCTGTCAATCCGTGCGTGTCTGTCCCTTGCGGAGCTGACGGAGAAGCATAAACCAGGCTTAAGTCCACCAATCCGAAGGCGGGGTGTGGGGTGGGGTGGGGTGTGTGTGTGTGTGGGGGGGGTCGGGTTTTCACAGCATATCTGCATTCCTTTGCGGGAGATTTTTCTTTTCGCAGCTCAAGGCTCCCAGGGTACCAGATTCAGATAGGAAGAATTGTTTGGCTCAGGCAGAGATCATTTTCTCTCTGCCTTTCAGTCTTTCACTGATCATTCCAGTCCAGTAAATCCAATTTTTGGGTTTTAAACTTGCCTATACCGTGCACTGACTTTCTTCAAGATCACATCCTTTTTGCGCACTAATACCGGTATCGCAGCTAGAACCTCTAGCTTACGATTCACCTTGAGTAACATCCCAGTCTGAGCAGTTTCCACATGGAGACTTTCCATGGGTACTGATTGACTTTCAATTGCTCCCGACTTCCCAATTTTCCAGAAAACCAGAAATCCTTCCAATAATGACTGCTTTTTTAGTTTTTTTTAACGCAGGAAAGAATAGACAGACAGACAGACAGACAGATAGATAGATAGATAGATGATAGATAGATAGATAGATAGAAAGATGATAGATAGATGATAGATAGATGATAGATAGATAGATGATAGATAGATAGATGATAGATAGATAGATGATAGATAGATGATAGATAGATAGATAGATAGATAGATAGATAGATAGATAGATAGATAGATAGATAGATAGATAGATAGATAGATAAAAGATTAGATGCAGCTCCAATAAGGAACAAGCCAGTGTCCCATTTGTGCTGTCCCAAGCCCAGGTAAATGCAGAGGCTAGTGTAAGGAATGGATCAAAGGAAAATATAGCTGTATGGATAGAAGAACTGTAATGATGATAGCATACGTTTCTATGCATTTTAGGGATTTGGAGGTATGTGACACCCAAAAAATTATTTCCCAGACCCCCCCCCCCCCCCCCCCCCCCCCCCCCCCCCCCCCCGATATTCTACCTGCACCCCTTTGTAGGGCTGGCTAAATCCGGCCCTGCCCAGCAAAACTTCTAGTATTATAGTTATTTAGTTCTAGAAGCTTGGCTGTTAATATTGTAGTTAAGTCACCAACTTGATGGAGTTTGAATGACAGTCGTCCCCCCATAGGGGCAGCAAGGCAGAGAAGGAGGCAGAGGAAGAACGCGCAGCGTCAAAATCCCTGATGAGGGAGCAACTGGGGATCCACTGGCGATGTTCCGGACCATAACCCACCCAGTCCACCAGGAACTGGCGACCCTGGCCATGGGGCCTGACATCTAGGAGACCCCGAACACCATAACCCAAGCCGCCGTCGGCGAGACAGACAGGAGTAGGATGAGCAGGACACAACGGACTAGACGAAACAGGTTTTATAAGGGAGACATGGAAGACAGGGTGGATCTTAAGGGATGAGGGTAATGAGAGACGGACAGACCAGGGGCTGATGATATCACTGATGGTGTATGGTCCAATGAACCGGGGGGAGAGTTTCTTGTTGTTTAGTTTCTTGTCTTTTAGTTTGATGTCCTTGGTGGGGAGCCAGACCTGTTGCCCAGTGGTATAAGGTGGAGCTGGACGGTGGTGGTGGTCAGCCAGCCTTTGGTTGCGTTCGCCTGTTCGTTGCAGAGCCGCACGGTTCTTGGTCCAAGTCCTCTTGGTTCTGCGAATGAACTGAGGAACCGTGATTGAGGTAGGGAGGTCTGATGGAAAAAGTGGAGGCTGATATCCAAGAGGTGATTCAAATGGGGACTGACCAGTAGCTGATGAGACGTGGGTATTGTGAGCGTACTCAATCCAGGGGAGTTGGGTGCTCCAGCTGGTAGGATTGGAGGAACACAGACAATGAAGCATGGCCTTCAACTCCTGCCTGAGCCGCTCACACTGGCCAGAAGTCTGGGGATGGTAACCAGAGCTTAGGGAGATGCGGACCCCAGCAAGGTGGCAAACTCTTCCCAAACCCTGGAGAGGAATTGGGGACCACGGTCGGACAAGATCTCAATAGGGATGCCATGGGCTCTAGACACGTTTTATTAGGAGGGCTGCAGTAACAGTGGAGGATGGAAGGGATTTTAAAGGAACAAAATGGCAGGCTTTGGAAAATCTGTCGACGATAGCGAGAATGGCAGAAAACCCTTTAGAGGGAGGCAGACCAGTAACAAAATCTAATGCTATGTGAGACCATGGACGAGAGAGAATGGGAAGGGGTTTTAGCAGTCCAGCAGGAGGTTGATTGGTGGCTTTATTACGTGCACAGACCTGACAGGCATTGATGTATTCCTTGACATCCTTAAACATGGAAGGCCACCAGAAAGACCTGCGGACCAGAGCGAGGGTGCGACCAATCCCTGGATAGATTGAGAATTTGGCCATGTGTGCCCAATGTATAACTGATCCTCGGACTTGTTGGGGTACATATAGTCTACGGGGAGGTCCGTTACTTGGGTAAGAAAGCACAGGGGTGGAGCAGGTTATCAGATGGAGATGTCTGGGAAAGAGCAGCGCCTAACCCTAACCCGGAATCCGAGGTGTCAACTTCAACGGTAAATTGAATGGAGGGATAAGGGCAAGACAGAACTGGAGCTTGGGAAAACCGGGACTTTAATTCCAGGAAAGCCTTGTCTGAATCATCAGTCCAAACAAAGGATCTTTTTATGGATGTTAGCTGAGTAAGGGGAGAAGCCACCTGGCTGTAGTAATGGATGAAATGTCTGTAAAAGTTAGCAAAAGCCAGGAAACGTTGTAACTGCTTGTGGGTCGTAGGGATTGGCCAGTCGCAGACTGCATCTACTTTCTCGGGGTCTGTCTTCAACCGCCCACTCTCCAAGACGAACCCAAGGAACTTCACAGATGAAGCTTGTGTAATGAAATAGAGATTACAGTTTTTTTATGAGCCATAAGGCGTGGGATTCCATAAGTTATTTAAACCAGAAGATTGGATCTTTTTATTGCAGAGATTAGTTAATCGTTACATATTCACTCAGAGACAACAGAATCGAGAGAGTCAAGTTTAAATGTTAAGAATTTTATTACTAACAAATTAAACTAGACTGACTTCAAAATTAAATGTATAGTGTAACTAAAAATGGATGAGACGGTGGATGGATGACGTGTGATGTTAAATCAGAACCAGCAAATCCGAAGAAGCGATTGTTCTGACGGGAACTGAAGATGTTGTTTTCGCATTAAGCTTTGGTTAGCTTCAGAAACACGAGACACCATCATGCCGGTCTACCTTGCCTTCGGTGGAAGTCCTCTGTAGATCAGGAATATCGAGGTCCAGTGGACCCTCTCTGGAACCGAGCTGGTAGGAAAAGCCGCGGTTCCAATCAAACCCGTCTTGAGTTACTTCCGGCACACGACAAGTTATTGGCGTCTGGTGAGACCCAAGCCTGGGTCCGGAAGGTGGAGTTTTTGTTCTAAAAGGAGCCATTGGCACTGGTTGATATAGCGACTGGATTTTTCAGCTTGTCGTTGTTCTTTCGGTTAAAGAGTTTAGATCAGGATTGGCCACTCCGTCACTTTTTCTGGAACGCTTTTAACTGGCGTGAGAGCTGACATGGCATAGTTTTATACTTTGGATATTATGGTTTGTTGTCAAATGAAAATTACCAAACACCATCAGAACCATGCCTCCATCAGATCTGTAAGATTCTGATTGGATCAGTGAAAGGAATGTGTTATGTCTTTTTAACACTACGTGAAATAAGTCCTGTTGGAACACTTAAAGTCACATTACTTATTATATTCCATAGGATCATAATAAAGTAATTAATATTTTGATTTCACAGGTCAATCACATCTTATTTATTGACTAACACTTTGATGGATTAGCTTTATTAAAATAGAGTTATTTGATTAATTAAAAGAAAAGAGTTCATTCTTCGTTCTTCTGTTGAGCTGAAAATAAGCAGGTTAGAAGGAATGCATGAGACCTTGAGTTATATCTCATGCAGACTAGTCTTGAGCAAAGAAGGGAAAAATAAGCGTCATTCCATTCCATTACACTTGAAATTCGCATTTCTCGGCTTTTACAAAGAGGCGGTTTTCCAGAAGGCGTTGCACGACTGCACGGACATGATGGCGGTGTTCTGAGAGGTTACTGGAGAATGTCAGGAAGTCATTGAGGTAAACAGATTGATGTAGTCATTAAGTACAGAGTTTACCAGGGACTGGAAGACAGCGGGAGCATTGGTAAGGTGAGATATTTGTTGTGGCCCAGGGGGGTCTTGAAAGCCATCTTCCACTCGTCGCCTTCCCTGATTCTGACAAGGTGGTAGGCATTACGGAGGTCCAGCTTTGTGAAAATGGTAGTGTTCTGTACAGGATCAAAAGCAGATGACTACAGAGGCAAGGGATATCTGTTTTTGACAGTGATTTGATTAAGTACCCTGCACCCAAAGAAGAGGTGGATGGGCGAATTATACCTGTTGCTAACAACTCGGAGATGTGGGTGGCCATGCTTTCACGTTCAGGTTTAGACAAACTGTATAACCTGTTGGAAGGTAGGATGGCTCCCTGGAGTAAATCGATGCAACAGTTGTGAGGACAATGGGGTGGCAGAGAGGCGGCTTGGTCCTTACTGAAAACCGTTTGTAGATCATGGTGCTCGGGAGGAACCAGAGCCAGGTCGGGAGGACTCTGGGAGCTGGGAGCAGGAGCCTGGGCAGAGATGTTAGCAGACAGAAGGCAATGGGACAGACAAAATGGATTTCAGACCACTACCTGACTGGTCATCCAGTCAATGTGGGAGTTGTGCGTAACTAGCCAGTCATGACCCAGAATGACAGGGGACTGAGGAGAGGGAAAAACAAAGAATGAGGTGACCTCATGATGGTTACCAGAAACATGTAGTTTGACGGGAACAGTTTGATGGGTGATGGAGGTCAATGAGTTTCCATCCAGCGATGAGGCCCGGATTGGGGTGGTGAGAGGTGTTGTGGGGAATCCCAGCTGGTTGACAATGGTCTGATCCAGGAGGTTCTTCTCACATACGGAGTCAGTAAGGGCCTCTGTGGGAAAAAAACTGCTGATAAAAAAAACAGAACAGGTCAGAGCACACCGGGAGGTTTCAATGTTGAGACTGCCACCCACCAGTGGTATGGATTATTACCCATTCGTCCCTTTAATATATTTTTCTATAGTCTGAAGGTACTTTGGTATGTGATATTTTAATCAGATTAAAATGTGGATATTGCAATGGTTTTGATGTAATGGGTTTTCATTGTAAGTTGATGTAATTACCCTTTAGAATTTAATGTTTTCCGTTGTATCCAGAGTAGGATGTGAGGGAAGGGGGCCCACCTAAGGGGGCCCACCCAGTGCTACCTCTCTGGATCATCTTCTGATTGGTTACTTCATTTGGACAAACCAAATGAAGTGTGATTTGTTTCTTTAGTGTTAGTTTAAAAATGTTTCTTGTATTTTAGAAATAGTTTTGTGTTTTGTTTAGGTTAAAACCAAGGTACATTTATTTGGATGTTTATTTCTTTTTGGGTTTTATTGTTGGAGCACAGTTGATTGGTGCTGATTGTTCCCA